GGCCACTGGGGACAGCTGCGATCCGGGGGTGGGGTCGGGCCCAGGGGACGCTATGAATTAGGAGGCCAGGGAAGCAGCCCCAGCTGGCGCCCGGTACAGCTCAGGTGCCCAGAGAGCCTCTCGGACTAGCCCACGCGTGCCCTGCTGGGGAGACGGTTGCATGTATTAGCCTCGCCTGCCCCGGACCATGGTGCCTTCGCCCCAGCCCCAGCCCCAGCCCCAGGCCCGGTACAGCCTGTCGGGGGTGAGCCCAGCCTGCAAGGTGCTGGTGTACCGCAACGGGGACCCCTTCTATTTGGGCAGGAAGTTCGTGATCCACCATCGCCACGTGAGAACTTTCGAGGCGCTCATAGCCCAGCTGAATGACGGGGTGGAGGTGCCCTTTGGGGTGAGGAAGCTGTACACCCCCCAAGAAGGGCACCAGGTGCAAAATCTGTCCGACATCAAACAGGGTGGCAAATATGTGGCTGCTGGGAGGGAAAAGTTTAAAAAACTGGAGTAAGTATGAAGGCGTAAATCTGACTCAACATTTAAATATTGTAAAAAACAATTTTTAATTACCACATTTACTAGAAACCTTAGGGAGGGTTCAGGGGTCCATTGTGTTAATATGCTGTACAAATAGACAGTAAGGGATACTCATTGCTCTAAGAGCTTGCCTTTTAAATAGACAAAACCAACAAAGAGGGAAGAAAGGGCCTAAAATGTGGTACAAAGAAGTGAGTTTTCAAAGTTTACATAGAAAATCTGAGGCTGCTGAGACAAGAATGGAATAGTGTTTTCCTGGATTCTGTACCACTGTTCTCCATACTCACTAGACTGCATTGCCAAAGTGAAACCAATAGAAATGTTTTCAAAAGTTAAAATGAAAAAAATATAAGGTAATGGAAATAATTGGTTTTAAACCAACATTCCTCTGCAGAGTTTTCAATCAAAATGTTGCTGCACTGAGAACCTGAAACTGACTGAATACATGTGCAACTGACTACACAGTTTTACTTGTCCAAGATGAGAAAAATGTAAATGTAAACAAAGCATGAACAGTGAAAAGTAATTTGCCTTGTCAAAATGCTGACTTGTTATAATTACATATAATTACCCGTTTATTTATCCATGTGTAAAGTGACACTTCTAGTAAGGATAGTTTCAAAACAATTGGTGCCAATGCTTAGGCCTTGTCTTCACAAGGGACAAAGATAATTTTTTTTAACTTAATTAACACATTGTTAAATCCTGGTGGAGATAAAGTTATTTGTAGGTATAACATGAGTGAAAGGTTACTTAGGCTTAAAGAGAATGTCCATTAACAGCATTAGGACAAAGTATGTATTCTAATCCAATTAGGGCAGTGGTAGTAACAAGAGTCAATAAATTACAATAGGAAGGGCCATTTTGCGGATAATACAGCTTCTAGGATGTTATGTTGTATCTTGCGCTTAAATGGAAATGATGGAGTTGTAGTTCCAAATAACTCCACTGCCTCTGCTGGGTCTCATAGTTTTGCTAAGGAAAAGCAAAGTGAAATTAACAAGATTCCAGCCAGCTTCACTGAAAAACTGGGCAGCAGTTAAATCCACAAGAATCATATGAATTTGATGCACCAGCTACTGCTGCTGCTGGTTGGGGAAACTGGAAGTTATTCCTGAGCAGATTTGGGACATCTGAATGCTACAAAGCAAGTGTTCAAGAACATTTCTTTGAATTCTGAATTACTGTTTGATTAGACTGTGTTTATGGCCTTGATTTTGCTATTTAAAAATATTTGTGAACATGTTTTTGTTCACAGAAATTCATAGAGAATAGCTGCAGTTTGTGTGAATACCCATATTTGCATGCATATTCATGCAAGAAGCAAATTTCATTATTGTTTGTTGTTCCAACAGCAAGTAAATGAAAGGGACATAAGTGAGCAATGGTGATTATTTTCCCCCTATATTTTGAACATGAAACTGAAGTTCACATAGTAGTTTTTAACAGAAATAAATTAATATATTTTTGTTTCAAGCCTAAAGATCTGATACTGACACAATTCTGGAAAGAATGTAAGATAGTACCATCAGCTGGCCCATGAACATTTTTGTTTATTCTAAATAACATCTGCTTTTTGAACCAAACCTGGCATTGGAGAAGATGTAACAATACAAACCAAAACAAAACAAAATACCACAAAACAAACAAAAAAAATCATATTTGAGATCCAGGGGATTTTAAACTTAAAATAGAGTAGTTTACTTTTAGGGACCAATTCTACATGCTGTTGAAGAATCTTCTGGAGAGATGTTGTACATTCTCAACTCCTATTCGAGATCATGGGGTGGATCTTCACAGGAAACTCAATAATTCAACATTGTTCCTTTAAACTTACGATATCAGCATCTTAAAATAAAAATGTACAGTGAATTTATGATTTCTATTCTGGTAGTTTTCAGCGATCTAAAATGAGACTGAAGAACCATTGTACAATGCATTGAACATATACTCAGTCCCCACTCCTTATAGTTTATAATCTAAAATAAATAGACAACACAGAGAAAGTCTGTGAAGAGGGCTGTATTATTCCCTCTTTACAGATAGGCAGTGAAGGTCCAAAAATTTAGTGACTTAAATACATGAAGCCTGTTGGAGAATCTTGGGAAAAATCAAACTGTGCTGTAACCAGGTCAATGCCTAAGCCAAAAGCTCATGCTTCCAATTTATAAAATACACTAAAACTGACTAAAATTCGCAAAATGTTGTCACTAATTATGGGTGTCCCTACTAGGCCAAAATGTTTTATGAAATTACTAACCTATTGAAATAGATGAATGTGTTTTGTCTAATTTTCTTTTTATTCTTCCTCTGCAGTTACATTCAGATAGGCATAAAAAAACCACAAAGACGAAAGAAGGTAGCGGTGGTAAGTATTTAACTGTTAGTGTTACGCTTTTAACATAGTGCCATGAGTTGACCTTTAGATGGCTGTATTTTTGTGTTTTTCAAAAGGAAAATTTGGAAGCAAAATAAAAAGATTGTACCACAATATTCTGTAATAATTGGACATGTATCCCCTTTTCTGGTCATTTTTATGTATGACTATGTTGAATAGTAGTGGTCCCAGTATAACCCTTTGGGAATACCACTATTTACCACTCTCCATTCTCACCATTTACTTCTGCCTTTGTTTCCTGTCTTTTAACTGGATGGCCTGCCAGTGCTTTCAGGATCATCTAACAATCCTTAATTTACTTTAATGACAAGCCAGTTGTATTAATCACCCTGTCTTGGTTTATAATCAAATGCCCTGCCCCAAAGGTTGTGCTTCTTCCAGCTTCCCGGTTCATCACATATTATACTTAAGCTGTGTTGCAGGTAAAAGGTTGGTCTGGGGCTAGGATGAGCAAACCTCCATTATGGAACTCAGGAGGTAGAGGGTGGTTAGAGCCCTCCTGTACTCCGTAAGTGGTGCCCCTGTTCAATATGCTGCTTAACTTAGAATCTGAACCTTCATGAGCCTAGCAAGGTCTGCATACACACAACACATGGAATCCAAGATTGTCACTTGATGTGTAAATTGGGGGTCTAAGTTCCCTGTAAGCTGTTTGGCTATGCAACTGCACATCTGTTTTCTGAGCTCTGCTTGGAAGTTCAGAGCTCCTGCACAGGCATGGCGCTCAGCTGACTGGCAGCAGGCAGGGCATCATCTTGCTAAGCAAGTAGTTAAACAGAGCTGCTTCATGTTTGAAACTGAGTAGTTCCCAGAATAGGCAAACAAAGGAGATAAGGAGACTATACGTGGCAGGGAGGAGGAGGAAGAGGGAGGGCATAAGCGAGCTGCTGAGGCAGAATCAGAGCGGAGGGGAGTTTGGAGAGTCCCATCTGCATGAGGAGAGAGAGGCAGGAACTCAGCACTCTCAAGCCTTCTGCATGGAGTAGGTCAGGGAATGAGAGGGTAGGTGCTGGCATTGGGGTGAATTGGAGGCTTGGGGGGAATTTGTGTTGTGGAATGGGGAAGGTGTGGATAATATGTTTGTGCTTTAGCTGGGAGTTAGGATAGGACAGACTGCTAGTGCCTGCTAGTTTGAGAAGCAGGATTTTATCCCAGCCCCCATCTGGTCTGTGGGGAGCAGATTGTACAGCAGTAAGCAGGGGAAAGGGAGTGGGTGGGTGCTGGCATCTGTGCAGTGAACTGGAGGTAAGGAGGAGTTTGTTTGGGGTGTCCTTGACTCGCTGCAGTCCTCTCTGGCTGGCTGGGTTGGATAGGGGGCAGAGAGCAGGCTGCATGGTGCGTGCGTGCGTGCCAGGACACTTGCATGATTACATTTCAAACAAAGTTTACATAGGTGTTAATGGCTTACGGTAAGAAAGAAAAATAATTTTTAACAGTTTTTTTGGAGTGTTGCAGATATCTTAAACTCTGATCTTTTTTTTTTAAAAATCCTGTGTTGCTAATTAATACATGGTATATTATATTGCAGATCATTGCTGTGTTGTAGAATTCTTGCTCTTATGAGTCAGAAAATAGCAAGTACTAGGTGTGATGCTAGTTGTTAAATTGGGGATATATATATATATATATATATATAACATCCACATACTTCCTCAATGTTGGGTTGCACACAAGAAATTTTAACACGCCCAACGATAGAAAATATTAGAGGGAACACTGGTTGGGGTGCTCAGTTTTTCACTGTAAAATATGCACGTACATTTCAGTTGAGATTGTAAGACCTTTGTGATGATGGGGATTACAGCTTTCTTTTTCGATTGATGCAGTACTGAGCACAATATCTGTGCTCAACTAATACTTAAAGGAGAAGCTGGTAAGGTACCCTGATGTTAAGTTTGCCTAATGCTTTGAATGATAAAAGATTCTTGCAACCATTTTTCTGAGAATTGTTAACTTCCACTAGTAACTATGTTGTATTTAAATTGTGGGAGAAAAAGACAATCTGGGTTCCCTTCATGACATTCCTGGACCCCGAACATGGTCCCAAAAACCCATCATACCTATCGGCACCATTGGGAAAAGGAGACCCAGGATGTATAAAAGCTCCAACAACCTATACCTCTAACTCTGGGATAAGAAGCTTCCCCTACAGCTATCTTACGTAGTTGGTCCTGTCAGTTTTTTGTTTGAAGTGGTAGTAATCTGGCCTGAAGCTGCAGGGTTCAAACTGTGCTGCTAATGTATGAAGGGGAGGTTGATATAGTTGTACGTACATAATTTGTTTTAATCTTTGTCCTTATACCCACCCCGCAAGAAACTGCATTTAAAAAGATGTGGGAGATGGAATAGAGGGCAAAATATGTTTATTTGATGTTATGTAGGTTGCATGGTCAAGCATTCAAAAGAGAGGTAATGGCAGTTTTGCAGTAGTCAGTACAATCTTAATTTGGCCCCTTTGTCAAGTTAGGGCTGTCAAGCGATTTAAAATGATTGGTGATTATTCACATGATTAATTGCACAGTTAAACAATAATAGAATACCATTTATGTACATATTTTTGGATGTTTTCTCAAATAATTTTCAAATATTTTGATTTCACGTACCACACAAAATATGTTTAGTGCTCACTTTGTTTATTATAAATATTTGCACTATAAAATACAGGAGAAATAGTATTTTTCAGTTCCCCTAATAAAACTACTTAAATGTTATCTATCATGAAACTTGAATTATAAATGTAAAATTATGTACAAAAAATAACTGCATTCAATAATAAAACAATATAAAACTTTAGAGCCTAAAGCCCACTCAGTCCTATTTCTTGTTAAGCCAAGAAGACAAACCATTGTGGTTACAGTTTGAAAGAGATAATGCTGCCTCCTGCTTGTTTACAATGTCACCTGAAAGTGCATTTGCATGGCACTGTTGTAGGCGGCATCACAAGATATTTCTATGCCAGATGCACCAAAGATTCATATGTCCCTTCATGCTCCAACCCTTTCGGAGGACATGCATCCATGCTGATAATGGTTTCTGGTTGATAATGATACAAAGCAAAGCAGAATAATGCATTTTTATTTTCATCAGATGCCACCAGCAAAAGGCTGACTTTCTTTATTGGTGGTTCATTTTTTTTTTTTTTTAGTTTCTGCATCCGAGTGTTGCTCTTTTAAGATTTCTGAAAGCATATGCTATGTCTCGTCCCTCTCAGATTTTAGGATGACACTTCAGATTCTTAATCATTTGGTTGAGTGCTGTAACTATTTTTATAACTCTTACAATGTTACCTTCTTTGCATTTTTTCAAATCTGCTGTGAAAGTGTTCTTAAAATGAACATGTGCTGGGTCATCATCGAAGATTGTTACAACATGAAATACTGTATATAGCAAAATGGGGCTAAAACAGAACAGGAGACATAACATTTTCTCCCAGGGAGTTTAGTCACAAATTTAATTAGTACATTATTTTCTTAATGAGTATTATCAGCATGGAAATAAGTCCTCTGGAATGGTGGCCAAAGCATCAAGTAGCATAAGAATGTTTAGCATATTTGGCAGGTAAATATCTTGCAATGTTGGCTGCAAAAGTGCCACATGAATGCCTGTTCTCACTTTCTGCTGACATTGTAAACAAGAAGCAGGAAGCATTATCTCCTGCAAATTGTAACCAGACTTGTTTGCTTCAGTGATTGGGTGAACAACAAATAGAACTGAGTGGTATTGTAGGCGCTCAAGTTTTATATGGTTTTATTTTTGGGTACAGTTATGTAACAAAATCTACAATTGTATGTTACGCTTTCACAATAAAAAGATTGCAATATAGTACTAGTGTGAGGTGAACCGAAAAACACTATTTTTTTGTTTAGCATTTTTACTGTGCAAATATTTAATCAAACATAATATATAAACTGAGCACTGTACTCTTTGTATTCTAAGTTACTGAAAACAGTATATTAGAAGATGTAGAAAAACCCAAAAAATGATATGCTGTTTAACAGTCCAATTAATCATGATTGATTTTGCAAGTCACAATTAACTTTGAGTTAATCACGTGAGTTAACTGTGATTGACAGCCATAATTACTGTCTCATCCTTAATTTTCCTACTGGATCTCTGCCTCATTCATTGCACAGGTTAGCTGTACAAGTGGGCAGAATTCAAGTTGCATGGACAATTGTAAAACTGACATTTCCCAACTTTTGAGCACATGATTTTTGTAACCTAAGCAAATTTTTTTGTATACAATAGATATGGCAACAAAACAGGCATCTGAGACATCTATTTGAATATACAAATAGTAAACTGAACACCTTTATTTAGGTGTTCAGCTTTGAAAACGGGATCTATAGCATATATATTTCTTGTTGCAGGCTGCATCTACCTCTGAAAACTTTTTATTTTGCATTATTCATAATAAGTTATATTCACACCTGTACAGGAAGCCCACACAAAGCCTGTGCACCATTCCCAGCAGGTTAGACTTCAAAGTATAGTTGAAACTCTCTAAACTGGGAGTCTCTGTATGGCACCATCTGTGGCCTTGCATGGATATTGCAGGACCAGAGAGTCCCAGTGGAGGGTCAGCATCAGAGAGCCCTGCTGGGCCAGCAGGACAGCGGGCTGCCCAGTGGGGCTAGGAGACACATTGTGTGGCTGCCTGGTGAGGCTGGGAGCTGCAGCAGCTGTGGTGGTGTGCAGCTGCCCGGAACCCTGAGAACTGTTTGTCCGGGGTGGGGGTAGGATCCCTTTAAGCACGGAGCTCAGTTAGCCTCAGGCAGCAGCCCCACACACTAAGTCCTAACCTGATGCCCTGCGGCATTGGTTCCGGCCAGCCTTAACTTTGGTTCAGGGTCCACTCAGTGTGGACGTGCTATTTCGAAATAGTTTTGTGTATAGATGTGTTATTTCGAACTAGCTTAATTCAAATTAACTATTTCGAATTAAGTTAATTCAAAATAGTGCGGTAGTGT